TGCCAGGAATTTGGCTCCCTGCAAGTTTCCGCCCAGAGGCAGCAGTGCTAGAGTCCGGGGAAATGACATCCCGGATGCCTGGGTTCCCTTCTCAGTTCTGTGAGGGGAGAGGGAGGCTTGGGAGTTGGAGCAGGGAGACGGGGGAGGGGGAGTCTGGACTCCTCGGTTCGATTGCTGGCGGAGGGGTGGGAAGATGGTGCCCTGGTCCTAGCAGGATGGTGCACAAGCTGGACTGCTGGGGTCATGGGCAGCAGTTGTAAGGGGCAAGGGAAGGTATTTCTTCTCAGGGTCATAGTGCCACCCACTCCCTTCTTCCTACCCCTCTGCCCGCCCTTCCTGCCAGCTCCCACAGCTCTCTGGGGCCTGGTGACTCTTCCATCTAGGAACTGAAAATGAAAATCCCTTCCAGCTTCCATACCGCTTAGCAGAACCTTTCTCCCTCTCTATGTTAAAGAAAGGTTTTCCTGCGGGATGACAGATTGACGTCATCCCATCCCTCTGGGTCCCGCCGGCCTTCTCCCTCTCTCCCCCTCTTCTCTCTCCCCTCTCCCAGCTCCAGCTCAACCTCGCTGCTTCCCCTCCACGCCAGGAATTGCTATTTCAAACCAAGCCAAGCTGGGCAGCCCTGGGCTCTACACACAGGGCTGGGGAGGGGAACAGTGCAGGCAGGACCACACCAGAGAGAGGTCAGGACGGCCCCTCCATCCTAAGCTGCTGCTTTCCCCACGACAGAAGGCTGCAGTACCCAGGAGCGCCAAGTGCACACGGCACTACCTGAGCTTCACTGTGCCCACACGGGGCAGGCAGGCACCCATGCACCCGTGTTAGACCGAGGTCGAGTGTGTACTGTTGCTTGGAGATGGGGGTGAGGGAAAAGAAAGGGCCCGGGCTGGCAGGGGGGATGGCGAGGGAGAAGGAACCATGGCTCACAGGAGGAGGGTAAAGGGAGAAGGAATACGGGCTGGCAGGGGGAATGAGGAGCCACACTAGTCAGACTGGGTGGGAAGGACTCTCATGAAATTGTTGCAGCCGTAGCACCTGGGCTCAGAATAAAGTAGGAAGAGGTGGGGGAGTGGGAAGGAGGGGCAGGCAGACTTGCTCCTGCATGGGAGCCTGTGGAGATCCAGCATTAGCCTCTTACACCCAGAGCTTCCCTGCACCCCACGTCAGACACTTACCTGTGCACCTGAAGGGGGCACCAGGCTGGCTGGGCGGGAGGTAGCCTTCCCGGCAGCTGCAGGTGTAACTGCCCGGTGTGTTGGTGCAGATGGAGTCGGGACCGCAGGGCGATGGGTCTCGGGAACATTCATCAATATCTGGATGGGGAAGAATCCAGATTGACCATAAGTGACGCTGTGTCACAGTACGGGATTTCAGTGAGGCAGCCAGATCATTGCTGTACCCATGGAGGGAAGGGGGGGTAATTGGTCCCAAAAGTACTAAATGGGGGCCATGCGAGATGTCAAAATAGAAGCTTACTGTCTGCTAACATCTCAGACACTTCGCCAAAGGATCAATGCCCACAAAACAGACATTAGACAGGACCACAAAGAAAAACCAATTTCTTGCCATTTCAACCAGAAAGGACATTGTCTCAACGACTTAACTACCTGCATCCTACTTCAAAAGCATTTTAAATCTGCACTCGAAAGGGAATCCTCTGAACTGTCATTCATGCTAAAATTCGACACTCTATGTGTCGGTCTCAACAAAGGCGCCAACTATCTTACCCATTACAAAGATAGCTTCCCCAATTATCACCTCTAATACCATTAGCTCACAGACGCTTACGTACCCCCCCCCATCCTCCTTCTGTTCACAAATATGATTTGTACTTTTCATGTGTGTTCAATTTTTTTAAAATTGTATATTTAGTATCATATTCCCATGCCACTGTGCCATGAGAATGTGGTATCTAAAGCCGCACACAGGCGAGCTGCGTAAGGGCCAGGGTGTAAGCCATAGTCTCTCAGAAGACCCTCCCTTGCTTCCATTCTCATCCTCCACTGTGAAATATTGTCACTTTACTGAATTTGAGTGAGGCAGCTGGATCACTGCTGCACCCTTGTGGGGGAGATTGTTGGTCCCAAAAGTAGTGGAAAGGGGCCCATGCGAGATGTCAAATAGAAGCTTACTGTCTGCTAATTTCATATATGCTATTCATGTAAATGTATAATGACTGTGTGTGAAGTTATGTGTATGTACTTTGTGCGAGTATTAAATATTTCTCTGTGTGTGGTTGAGCATTGGGCAGAGCTCGGTCTATAGACATGCTAATTACTGAGGCTCTGTGGGACAATAGCACTCAATGGGCCAAGGACACACCTTGGGAATGAGGAATGACACCCAAGGGCTACCAGCAGGGGACACAGGGATAGGCCGCTGGCCAGGTGACCTGCTGCAGCCAAGAAGAGACCAGGAAGGAGGTATAAATTGGCCATGTTGCCGTCTCCATTTGGTACTCAGCTCAGCCCTTCATCCCAGAGGCAGCAGTGCAGGGATCAAAGAGCCAGAAAGAACTGAGAACCCATCTTAACCTAGGATGTACAACAAGGACTTCTAAGTCACCAGCTATAACATCTCTGCTAGAGCCCGCATCGAGAACTGGGAGATTCGATGCATGTAACGTATGATACTTTAGCAAGCTTACTCTCATGCTTTTCTTTCTTGTAACAATAAAGCTTTAGATGGTAGATTCTAAAGGACTGGCTCCGCGTGATTTGTGGGTAAGGTCCAGAGGGTAAATTGACCATGAATCTGTGGCTGGTTCCTTGGGACCGGACAGAACGTGTTCGGGGTGGGTGAGATTGGGTTCTAAGACCCCTCACCTGTGTATGAAGTCCGGGGCCATCTGGGGAACGGATATTGCTGGAGTTCGGAGGGGCGTTGCTCGTGAGGCTTCAGGTAGGCAGCTGAAGCGCTCTGTTGGACTGGTTTGTGGCCTGGTTGGGAAGGTCTCCAGTTTGGGGGATGTAAGGAGCCCAGAATTTGACCAATTTGCCCTGAGCGGACACCCTCAGCTGTGTCCAGACCGGCCCGGTCCATCACACTACGACATCAGTGTTCTACTGCCTCAGGCTCCTCAGGCTGAACCAAACCCCACTGGATCCAGTGGGAATCTGTCCATCAGCCTTAGGGGCCTTTTCTATCGGTCAATCTGCCCCGCGCCTGAACCGGCTCCCACTATTGTGCTGTGCTGCTGGGTCAGTGACGTGCTGCTCCCCAGAACTGGATGCAAAGCCGGGCTTGCAGGGACAGCAGTGGCCCCCTAGACTGTGGGTGCGGGTGCTGCTCTCAAAACACTGAATGCAAATGGGCCCAGCTCTGCACAACGGGGCCTTCTCTTAATGAGAGGATGGGGAAAACATAGCACAAGCAGCTGGTATCGGGGACCGAGGGGGCACTGTGCCTGGCTTCCAGCAGGTTTGCAAAATGCTGTCCATCCCCAAGAGTCAGTCGTGTAAGTGGCCTAGGAAGCGGGGTGCTAACACACCTAGGATCTCGCGCTGAAAGCAGGGGACTTGGAAGTCAGGACTCCCGGCTTCTCTCCCCAGCTTTCCCATAAATTCCCCATGTGACCTTGGCCAAGTCCTTTGTCTTCCAGAAGCCTCAGTTTCCCCAGATGTGCAGGGAGACAATCCCGTTTTCCGGATCTGATTTCCTATCATTGTAGGGCCACACCCTGAGGGACGGGACCCCTCCAGCTCCCCCTGCAACCAACGGGAGTGGAGCCTACTCAGCACATGGCAGGCTCTGCTCTACATTCACACAGCACCACAGGGGGCTGCAGCACTGCCTTACCCCAGCCTGGGGCCCTGAATGCCCTGCAGCTAAGCTGCGATTCCCCGCCTGGACAGACTCACGCTTGCCGGTTCTGCCTGGGCTACAAAGTCGTGCAGCTACCGTGCAGCTCAGGCTCTGCCCAGCGCACACCTGAGATCAGAGACAGGGTGGCACTGGCACTGGGCCATCCGCTGCCTCCTCCTCTCTACGCTCTATCCTGCTAGGTGGCGTGTCTGATTGAGTTGGGACTCGCACCTCCCTGCTGCACTGCAGATGTCTCCATGTCACAGCCACACAGTAACACACCCACAGCTGGACCCTGGGGCCTCGGCCTGGCACAGAGGTTTTTGGTCTCATGGCGCCTCCCGGAACACACTCGCCCGTTAGCTCAGGCAGCAGGGACAGTGGGACACAGGGTTTGGCGTCTTGGCTCATCAACACTCCAGCGGGCAGGGAAAAGCTGAGCAAATCCTGGATGTTTTCAGCGCAGGGAACAAACCAGGATAAAAATAGCCAGGAGGAAATTGTCCCTGAGCAACCCAGGGTGGATTTTTAGGGACTTTTCTCACCGAAACAAACACACCAAACGGTTCATCGGGGATCGAACCTCCCACCCAACGGTTTCCCGTTTCTTCTCGGTCGTGGCTGGTTTGCATTGGGGCCTTTTTCCATTAAATACAAACTTGGCTCAATTTCCCAATGAAACTTCATTTTGAAAGAAAAAGCTGAAATGGTTCAGGTAAACCACGTCACGACGGTCACGAGGCCGGGCCCGAAGTTCCCGGCTTCGACTCCCACCCACAGCATGTTACATGTAAGAACAGGGCCGCTGTGCCGACCGCTGGCCACGGAGTTCAGTCTAATGACACCAGTCCAGTCCATGCTCTGACTCTAAGGCAGAGAATGAGGCTCCACCGGAGGATATGAGTCTCCCGGGCCAAAGGGACTGTGGGGTTTCGCGAGCAGAGGGCAGGAGAGCTACATGGCAGCTGATCCTGTAGCTCTTCCTGCAGGGTGGGAAGGAGCCTCAGTTACCATCCCGATGAAATCTCTGCAGCTGTCGGGGCTTTGGAGAGTCCAAACCCCGGGTGGGCTGGCACAGCTGCTCTATACCTAGCTCTCCATAGTGGGTGACCTGGTGCCTTTCATACCCGGAGCCCCACACACATCCCCTGTATCAGACACTTACCTGTGCAGCTGAAGCGGACACCGGACTGGCTGGGTGGGAGGTATCCTGCCTGGCACATGCAGGTGTAACTGCCCAGCATGTTGCTGCAGATGGAGTTGGGGTCGCAGGGAGATGGGTCGCGGGAACATTCATCAATATCTAGGTGACAGAATCCAGGTTGGCCATGGGTGACCCGAGCACACCAGTGTCCTACTGCCCAGACGCCTCAGGCTGGCCCAAACCCCATTGGAACCAGTGAGAATCTTCCCAACAGCCCCAGGGGACTTTTTATCCGTCACTCTGCCCCGTGCATGAACCGGCTCTCACCATTGCACTGCGCTGCTGGATCAGTGACGCGCTGCTCCCCAGAACTGGATGCAAAGCCGGGCTTGCAGGGGCAGCAGTGGCCTCCTGGGAGGTGGGTGCAGGTGGCATCCTCAAGGCACATCACTGAATTCAGATGGTCCCAGCTCTACACAACAGAGCCCCCTCTCCACGAGAGGATGGGGTGGGGCAGATAATCCTGGCAGCTGGCATCGGAGGGAGCACTGTGCCAGGAATTTGACTCCCTGCAAGTTTCCACCCAGAGGCAGCAGTGCTAGCAGCCCGGGAAGTAACACTCCAGATGCCTGGGTTCCTTTCTCAGCTCTGGGAGGGGAGAGGGAGGCTTGGGAGCTGGAGCAGGGAGACGGGGGAGGGGGAGTCTGGACTCCTCGGTTCGATTGCTGGAGGAGGGGTGGGAAGATGGTGCCCTGGTCCTAGCAGGATGGTGCACCAACTGGACTGCTGGGTTCATGGGCAGCAGATGTAAGGAGCACGGGAAGGTATTTCTTCTCAGGGTCATAGTGCCACCCACTCCCTTCTTCCTACCCCTGTGCCCACCCTGCCCCCTCCACCCCCCCAGAGCCAGGCCCCCCCAGCCTAATGCCTCCTCCCCCTTATAGCCAGGCACCCCCAAAATAATGTCTTCCTCCTCCCCCAGAGCCACTCCCAACCCAATGCCTATCCCCTGCCTCAAAGCCAGGAACTCCCAGTCCCCCCCGCCGAAATTTAGTACCTCCCTCCTCCCCCAGAGCCAGGCCCCCCCAGCCTCCGCCCACCCAACCAAATACCTTGGTCCCGGAGTCGACGTTGCTGCCTGAGGTGCTGGGGCAGCATGAGCACAGCGGCTAGCTGTGAGCACTGCTGGAGCGCCCAGCACAGAGCACCCAGCCAGGCATGAGTGCGTGCACCGAGCGGCCAGTGGGCCGCATTTCATTCTTTTATAAAAATATTCTGGGGTCGCAAAAAAATGTCAATCGGGCCGCATGTGGCCCTCCGAATGCCAGATTGACGTGCCTGCTCTGACTAGTCAGGCTGGGTGGGAAAGACCCTCATGAAATAGCTGCAGTT